TACCTAGATTTCAGGTTCAATTCCCAGTTGGGACACATACAGGAGACAACCTATCGATGATAGAAGTTTCTCTCCCACATCGATGTTTCTCTCTCTCTCTCTCTCTCTCTCTCTCTCTCTCTCTCTCTCTCTCTCTCTCAAAGCATGTTCTCGGGTGAGGATTGAAAAAAATGGACAGTTTCCAAACAGACATTTTTCCAAAGAAGACATATGAATGGCAAACAGGTACATGAAAAGGTGCTCTAATCATGGAGAAGTGCAAATCAAAACCACAATGAGATATCACCTCACACCTGTTAGAATGACTATTATGCAAAACACAAATAATAACAAGTATTGATGAGGATGTGGAGAAAAGGGAACCCTTGTGCACTATGGGTAGAAATGTAAATTGGAGCACCACTATAGAAAACAGTATCCAGGTTCCTCGAAAACTTAAAAATAGAACTACCATATGACCAGCAATTCTACTTCTGGGTATTTATTGGAGAAAACCAAAAACACTAACTCAAAAGGATATGTGCACCCTTATGTTCATTGTAGCATTATTTACAATAGCTAAGATATGGACACTACCTAAGTGCCCATGGATAAAGAAAATGTGTTATATATATATATGCATGTATATAAACTTACACAATGAAATATTATTCAGCCATATGAAAGAAATCTTGCCATTTGTGACTACATGTATAGACTTTGAGGACATTATGCTAAAAGAATTCAGACAGAAAGACAAACACTGTGTAATATCACTTATATGTGGAAGTTTTTTTTAATGAACTCATAGATACCGAGGTGAGAGGCTGGGGGGTACAAAATGGGTGAAGATTGTCAAAAGGTATAAACTTCCAGTTATAAATACATGTCATGATAAGTACCTATAATAATAAAAGCATAATATGCAAATCGACTGAACTGCCGAAAGCCGGATGACCCTCCGGATGAAGCAGGGGCTGCGAGGGCTGAGGCAGCCAGGACTGGGAGGGCAGAGCCCCTTGCGCGAATTTTGTGCATCAGGCCTCTAGTAGTTAATAATACTGTATTGCATATTTGGAAGTTGCTAAATGAATAAATGTTAAAAGTTCTCATCACACAAAAAAACCTGTATAACTATGTCTGGTGATGGGTGTTAACTAGACTAACTGTGGTGAGGATTTTGCAATATATACAAATATTGTATCATCATGTTTTAAACCTGAAACTAATATAATGTTATATGTCAACTATATCTCCATTTTAAAATGTTTATGTAATACATGCACGGATATGTAAGTGGATATAATACCTATAAAAATTATAACATAAACAGATGAAAGTAATTAGACCTATATGATGATAGAGTATCTGCATATTGATGTTGATTTTAAGTAGATTGTGGAAAGTTAAAGATATCTTATTCCTAAAAAGACACTGTCAAAACTCAATGGGTAAATTAAAAGAGGATAATAAAAATATTCAAACACTACAAAAAAGTAGCAGGAAAGGAGAAATAAAGGAATAAAAAAACAGAGGGAACATACACCTAATAATAAAATGGTGAGTAGAAATCGAAACATAAAAATAATTACATTAAGTATAAAGGGTCTAAACTCAGAAATTAAAAGACAGACATTGTCATAAATTGGCAACAATCAAAACTGACTGATTAGATCATTACTGTTTCTCACCTACATGTTCCTGTGAAGATCCAGAAAATGTTGACCTTAACCTCTGACTCTGCATGTCACCATTTCCAGCTCCTCCTGATGACTTATAGCATTGGATCTTTCAAACCAGTGATGTCTCTGTTATTTATTAAGCTTTGATTCTTAAAGGAAGATTATAGTACAATTTTCTATTTCCCAATTTCTCAATTAAATTATCTCATAATTTGGAAAAGCATAACTTTTGTGAGAAATTGAGGAAGAAATGTTTATGTGGAAACAGTTTTTTGTCCCTTTGATATGTCTTGCACTGAGTGAGATATGTTAAGTCTTCTATTATTGGTGTGTGTTTTTAATTCTCTTTTCATGTCCTGCAGTGTCTTTTTGAGTAAAGGTGGCTGCTGTCTTATTTGGTACATAGATATCATAACTTCATTCAGAATTGCACCTTTCAGCATTATAAAGAATCCTATATAATAAAAGGCTAATATGCAAATAGACCAAACAGTGGAACAACCGGAACAACTGAACAACAGGTCGCTATGACGTGCACTGACCACCAGGGGGCGTGTGCGGAACATGGTGGGTGTTGGCCGAGGCAGGATGGTGGAGCAGGTGAGTGGGGGCACCAGACCAAGGCAGGGCACCAGTCGTTGTCATCGGGGTGAGACTCTGGTGGTTACTGAAAATTCTTTGCTCCCGCGTGCTGCGGTCCCGCCTGGCACTGCACCTGCTACCGGCACCAGCCCCGCTTGCACCAGCTGCCGGCACCAGAGTTGCCACTCACACCCACTGCCAGCGCCGGTCCTGCTTGCACCCACAGCTGGCTCCGGAGCCACTGCTTTGCACCTGCTTCTGGTGCCTGGCGGCAGTCCTGATCACTCGGCACCATCAGCAGGTGTGAGCAGTGGCTGCCAGCCATGATAGCCCTGAGGGCTTCTCCACCTCACTCTGCTCCTGAGGGGCAATCGGGGCAGCAGCAGCCTCGCACCCGCTTGTGCCAGCCCCAATCACTCTACGCTCTCAGCGGTGCAAGTGGGGCTGACGCCGTCAGCACATGGGAGCGGGCGGTGGCAGGAGTGGGGCTGCAGGCAGACAGGGGACTGGGGGCCGTGGCGGGAGGGGCTGGGCAGGGGCACCGAGGATGGGCTGAGACCCGCCCCTGTGCCTACTGCAGCCTCGTGGCTCACAGTTCCTTTCAAGGTGCATGAATTCTAATAATAGGGCCCCTAGTATTTCATATCATTTAATGCTTTTTGACATAACTTCTACATTGTCTGACCTCAGGATAACTCTGATTTCTTGCTGCTTGCATTTTCCCATTTCTTTATTTGTAGCCTGTCTGTAACATTTTGTTCTTGATGTATTTCTTATATGCAGTATAGTTTGTTTGTGCTTTGTGAAACAATCTGAAAACAATTTTATTTATAAGTGAGTTATTCTCTTATATTTATTGGTATGACCAATATATTTGCTCTCAATTCTGTCATATTATGTTATAATTATCATGTGTAAGAAGTAAATAAAAGCAAGATTTTGAATAAGTAAAAATTTTAAAGATCCACAAAAATGCTTATTAACCGAGTTTCAATTTCTTTTTGGCTCTAAGCACATAAGTAAAGACACACTGTTTGCCCGGGTTGTGGGCTCAATCCCCAGTTGGGGGCATGCGGGAGGCAGCTGACCAGTGATTCTCTGTCATCATTGATGTTTCTATCTCTCTGTCCCTCTCCCTTTCTCTCTAAAATCAATAAAAATATATTTTAAAAAAATAAGAAAGTTGTTAAGTAATGATAATAGGACTAATATGATTAGGAAATTTTTCCCTAGAGAGACCATTATTAAATAAACTAATGACATTTTAATTGTAGGAATTACACACAGACAAAAAGTAAAGTATTAAGTAAGAGATTCAGCACATACATTTTAAGTGGAAGGCTAAGTTGGGGAACTAATGAGATAAATTTGGAGAAGATGTAAACCTAATTGACAGATTGAATTTACATTCAACGTAACAGTGAATAATAACATACTATAAATACTTGGATAACAGAAGAGTAAGTAACATAAAGGAAAATACTAATTGATTGAGACATTTCTCTCATACTTAGATGTAGGACAGACTACAATACTAAAAATAAAACTAGCAAAACTTGCAGTTACCCAAAAAGTAGGGTGATAAAGGTCTGTGTGAGTATGGCTGAAGAAGTCTTCATATAGTTAGGTGACAGGCTGAGGTGTTATAGGACAGTAAGAAATACTAGTGTTTCTTTGGAGCCAAGGTTGTCACAAAAATCAATATGAATTCCTGGACTAGCAAAAAACTTAAAGGCCCAGAAGTCTTCAGAGTTCGGGGCAGATCAAGAAGTTCCACAACTATGGTTTCAGTAGTATACAGGTGTTCCAAAAATATATATATACACACTTTAACAGTTGATAGCTCAATTTTGAAAATGAAATGTATTTTAATAAACACTGCCTTTATAGTTATTCAAAGTGTGTGTATATAGTTTTTTGGGATACCCTATATATGAGGATATTGCCACTTCCATGAGGTACCACCACACTGGGTAAGAAGAATAGTTTATTCCATTAACCTCCCCATGGTTGGTCAATTAGTTTTTTAAATCCAATTTGATACAATGCAGCCAATAAAATTCAATGACAAATTCAAAAAATGTGTTTTTAATGCTGCACCTTTCTACCTTTGATGAAAATCTCTGTGATACGACTATTCTTAAAGAAATTAATCCTTATTGATGAATAGGAGTATAAAGGGTTTTAATATAATAAATTATTGATGTAAATAGTAAAAGCATAAACTACTCTTGCTTAGGGAGTGCATATTCCATCTACCTACTCGGAACAGACACTCTTGCCCCTGACTTGAGGATTTCAAACAGGTTATACCACTCACGTGGTCCTTTTTAAGTGGTGATCCATACTTGGTCATAAACAGAAGGAAGCTACACATGAAAGTAACCGATTGTTTTATCACATCAAATTTTACCTTTGTTCTACTGAAAATAGGTCCAGACATGCAGAATAATAAAAAAGAAGAAAAAAAATCAAACTAGCAATTAAATTCATTTTGAAGTATTTCCAATTTCATAATGCTTTATGACCACAAATGCTAAATAATCATAGATTTGTAAAAGTTGCCTGTCACCACAAAAATCAAAAAGAATTCACACTAACCATAATTTATTAAATAAAAGGAATCACAAGTCTTCAAGCCATTAAAATGGATTTTAAAAATCACCAGCAGATGCCCTGACCAGTTTGGCTCAGTGGATAGAGCATCGGCCTGCAGACTGAAGTGTCCCGGGTTCGATTCCAGTCAAGGGCATATACCTTGGTTGTGGGGCACATCCCCAGTGGGGGGTGTGCAGGAGGCAGCTGGTCGATGTTTCTTTCTCATCGATGTTTCTAACTCTCTGTCCCTCTCCCTTCCTCTCTGTAAAAAATCAATAAAATAAAAAAAAATTAAAAAATCACCAGCAGAGAATTCCAGTAGGTAAATGCTGTGTTCACCTCTTCCCAAGACATCAAAATTACAACTAAATTACAGAACAACCACTCTTAAGAACCATCTCAAGACTAGCTGAACAGAACTATAACCAATGATATACAGAAGCTACCTGGAGACTGGTAGGACGGGCAGAGACCTGAAACAGGCTGGTCCCACACCCACCTGTGGCAGAATCAGGAGGGATATCTCGGCTGTAGAGGTCCCCACTAAACAGTAAGGGGTCCCAGCTCCACCTGGGCTCCCCAGCCCTGAGCACCAGTGCTGAGAAGAGGCGTCCCAACAACTAGTGAAAATGTCCTGTCAAAGGGCCCGAGCTCAGACTCAGTAGCTCAAAAACACTTGCCACCTAAAGGACAGCAGCTTGAAAACTGCCAGGGAAATATGGGGAATGGAATTGTCTGGCTTCAGGGTGAGGGCTGGAGGGGCAGCTCTCTTGGGACTAAAGTACTAACAGGCTCCACTGTTTCTTTGCTGAGCTCTCCCCACACATAAATGACAGGTACAGATGGGCACCAAATATGAGTCTCCTTTAACCTCCCTAACACCCCTCTCACCCCACCCAGGTGATTCTCTGAGATCCCCTAACCCACCCAACCCATGGACCAAAGGAACCTCTTTCTGCAGCTGTTCCTCATACACTGCTTACCTTGACCCACTCTGCCGACTTTCCTAAAAATCTCTCAAAAATCCACAAACCCCAAATAAACAACAACTGGTCTCCATGTACCCTGTACCTCTTGCTAAGCAGTCCCAAGCCAGACACTAGTGGTGATAGGCTTTGGTTCGCAGCATACCTTCTCCCAGGCACCTCCAAGCCCAGCACAGGCAGCTACCAACCACAAACCGTGTTGCATCTGCTACCAGGTGGCCCAAGGATGGACTCAGACAGTGGCTGACCTAGGCCTACACGGTAGCCCCTCCCGAGAGGCCCTAGAACTAACACATCTCGTGGACGACTTCAGACCTCACCAGAGCACCACTCAATTAGCACCATAAACGACACACCCAAAGAATGGACTGGCAGGCACCAGGGTCCCCTAAAGTAAATCCCAATCCATAGGGTCAGCCCCTACATAACAGCTCACCCACTGTAGCCATGGCCAGTCCTCACAACCAGGCAACCTCAGGGTCAAACCCACCCACTGACATGCCTATAGCAATCAAGGCTCAACTACAACAGGAGGGCATGCAACTCACACAAAGGACACCCCTGGAGCACCCAGCTCAAGTGACCAGAGAGTCTGCAGCACTAGGCCCCACAGGACACCTACTATGTAATGCTACCCCACCAAGACTGGGAGACATAGCAGATCTACCTAATATTTAGAAACAAACACAGAGAGGTAGCCAAAATGAAGAAACCAAAAATATGAACCAAAAAAAAAAAATGGCAATAACTACTTGGTACATACCTATCAATAATTACTTTAATTGTAATTGGATTAAATGCTCCAATGAAAAGACATATGGTGGCTGAATAGAGAAGAAAACAAGACGCATATATTTGCCGCCTACAAGAGACTCACTTCAGAGTGAAAGACACACAAAAACTAAAGGGATGAAAAAAGATATTTCGTGCAAATAGAAGTGAAAAAAAAAGCTGGAGTAGCAATACTTAGACAAAATAGACTTTTAAAAAAAGGGTAAACAAGAGAAAAAAAAAGGACATTTCATGTACAATAGCGAAGATATGGAAGCAACTGAAGTGATGGCATGGTACATATATACAATGGAATATTACTTGGCCATAAAAAAGAATGAAATCTTTCCATTTGTGACAGCATGAATGGACCTAAGGGGCATTATGCTAAATAAAATATTTCAGACAGAGAAAGACAGATACCATATGTTTTCACTGATATGTGGAATCTAAAAAACAAAAAAAGCCATCAAAACAGAAAAAAACTCATATATACAGAGAAAAAAACTGACGGTTGACAGTTGGGAAGGATGTTGGGGGGGCAGGTGACCAAGGTGAAGGGGGTAAGAAGTACAAATCAGCAGTTACAAATAGTCATAGGGATGTAAAGTACTGCATAGGGAATACAGTCAATAATATTATAATAACTACTAGAGGCTGGTGCACGAAATTCATGCACTGGGGGGAGGGCGGGGTCCCTCAGCGGGGCCTGCACCCTCTTGCAGTTCAGGACCCCTAGCTCTTTACCACCCGGCTCACTACTCCTTAGCATTGCCGCAGAGGCGGGAGAAGCTTCTGCCATCACCACTGCGCTTGCAAGCCATGAGCCCAGCTTCTGGCTGAGTGGCGCTCCCCCTGTGGGAGCACACTGACCACCAGGGGGAAGCTCCTGTGTTGAGTGTCTGCCCCCTGGTGGTCAGTGCGCATCATAGCAACTGGTCATTCTGGTAGTTCTGCCATAATGGTCACTTAGGCTTTTATTATATAGACTAGAGGCCCGGTGCACAAAAATTTGTGCACTAGAAGGGGGGGGGTCCCTCAGCCAGGCCTGTGCCCTCTCGCAGTCTGGGACCCCTCGGAGGAAGTCCACCTGCTGGCTTAGGCCCGCTCCCTGGGGGATGAGGCCCAAGCAGGCAGTCAGACATCCCTCTGGCAGCCCGGCAGCCCTCGGGGGATGTCCACTTGCCAGCGGGGAGCAGACCTAAGCTGCAGTCGGACATCCTTAGCGCTGCTGAGGAGGCGGGAGAGGCTCCCACCACCACTGGCAGCCATTAGCCTGGCTTGTAGCTGAGCAGAGCTCCCCCCTGTGAGAGCACACTGACCACCAGAGGGCAGTTCCTGCATTGAGCATCTGCCCCCTGGTGGTCAGTGTTTTTCATAGTGACCAGTCATTCCCAGTCTTTCTGCTGTTAGGGCATATTACCCTTTTACTATATAGGATAGAGGCCTGGTGCACGGGTGGGGGCCGGCTGGTTTGCCCTGAAGGGTGTCCCAGATCAGGGTGGGGGTCCCCACTGGGGTGCCTGGCCAGCCTGGGTGAGGGGCTGATGGCTGTTTGCAGCTGGTCACACCCCCTTCAGGGTGGGGGTCCCCACTGGGGTGCCTGGCCAGTCTGGGTGAGGGGCTGAGAGCCGTTTTCAGGCTGGCGGGCGACTGAAGCTCCCAGCCTCTCCTTTTTTACTTTTTCTTTTTATTCTGGGATTTATTTACCTTCTATAGCTGTCACTGGAGCTGAAAGCCGGCTCCAGCTCTGAGGCCGTTGCCAGCTCTGAGGCCGGGGCTGGCTGAAAGTAGGTATCTGGGCTTTGTTTGGCTTCTATAATTGAAACATTGTTGCTTTTGGAGCTGTTGCTTCAGGAGCTCAGAGCTGGGCCACAGCAGGCGGGGAACCTTGGCTTCCTCCATCACTGGAGCATACAAGCCTCATGTTTGCCTCAGCTGCATGGCTGCCGGCCGCCATCTTGGTTGGCAGTTAATTTGCATATCGCCCTGATTAGCCAATGGGAAGCATAGCGGAGGTATGGTTAATCACCCTATTTTTCTATTATTAGATAGGATGTATGGTGCCAGGTAGGTATTAGACTTATTGGGGGGGATCACTTTGAGAGTTACGAAAATGCCTAATCACTGGGTTGTACACCTGAAACTAATATAATGTTGAATGTCAACTATAATTGAAAATTAAAATTGGAAAACACACACACACACATTTACATACACACACACACACACACACACACAAAATCACCAGCAACATGATGGGGTGGGTGGGTCAGGGCAGGGAATGAGGTCCAGTTCTTAATGAAAAAGGGTCCATATTCATGTAAAAGGGTGTCCAAAAAGAGACAACCGAAATCACTAAACTAATCTCTGTGCCGACTGGTGCGTTTTCCATGTGCTAACTACAAAGGAGATGTCAACCGCACACACATACACAAAAGGACCCATCCAGAGACACACCCGGCTAGACCATAACCGCGGCTGCTTCGTATCTAGACAAGCAAATCATAAAACGTGAGGTGCTTCTCATTGGCGAGAAGTCTTAGGGGATTATACTGCAATACTTGTGAAGAAAAATGAAATCCTACCAGGATCTGAAAAGGGTTCCCTGAACAGTGTACACTGAATTTTCCTTTTAATAATAATTTTTAAAAAATCTTAACTTCCGGAAGGCCAGGTTCACCAAGTAGAGCTGGCTTTACCGCAGTCCCATGTCTGGGGCCGCGCAGAGGCCACCCACCCGCACTCCCGGGCTCCTAAGTGTCACCCAGGACCCTGCGTGTGAGCCAGGCTGGGCCAGCAGGGCCGCCCCCTCCAGGGGGCCTCCAGGACGGCCACACCGAGCCCGGCCCCCAGTGGGGAGCGGCGAGCGCTGCCTACCTGCCTACCCGCCACCTTCACAGAAACACACTTTGTTTCCACCCCTTCGGCCCGGCTCTCGCCGTGAAGAGAAGCCATCAAGTCTTACAGACAAGTTACATCTTCTCTGGTCCCAACCCGGGATGTCGAGGGGCGGAGGCACCACCTCCCGTCCCATCACACTCCTGGGCACAGACCCGAGTGGGCGGCCCCTGCGCTCCGCCGTCGTCCGAGGCACGGAGGTCGCCCCAGGCCCGGCCGCCC